TGCTCGTTGCTACTTTGATGGCTTCATGGGCAATATGTTGTGGTGGTGGTTGTCATCTTGTTACTTCTATCGTGAGAGTGATTACGGCCTTTCTAAAAAGAATCGGCCATATTCCTCGGTCCCTCCACTCCCACGACTGCTGGTAATGCGTTCTCTGCCGCGTGTTATCGTGCTCAAGTTTTTTTTTTTGAGTAACTGCTCACAAGTATCCCATAGTGAAGAAGCAATTTCTGCTAGGCTTAGCGGCCCGGCCCATCTTAGCTGCTACGCTGAGCCGGCCCAACTCCGCTAATCCGCATGCTGCTCGTGTCGCGCGTGTCGGCGACGGCGTGTGCTCATGGCTTCCAATGGCGCCCCGCCACCTCAGCCTCGCCACGTACTTCCCTCGCTTGCCCACGGCCGTCTCGGCGTCTCCGACCCGCCACGCTCTATTGCACCAACTGACATCCTGGGCACCCGGGCCCAGTATCCAGTCTGTGTCGACCCGACCTTCTTTTCATTCCCGTCTCGGGTCCGTTCCGTCTCCGCCACCGGGACCCCGACGCGCGAGGGAACACAGCCACTCGCCGACGAGCCCCCGGCGCGCGCGCGCGAGCGAGAGGGGAGGAGGACCTATCGTTCGTGAAAAGGACCGGAGGGCGGAGGGAAAGTGAAGGAGGGGGATCGGAGATGAACGTGTTCCGGCTGGCGGGGGACATGACCCACCTGCTCAGCGTCGTGGTGCTGCTCCTCAAGATCCACACCATCAAGTCGTGCGCAGGTACGCCCTTCTCTTCCCCTCTCCGCCCCACTGGGATCAGGGCTAGGAACCGAAACGAATTGCGCTGCCATTTTCTCCGGATTTTAGCGATCGGGTCTTCTGGGACCGCACTGGAGATCTCGATCTCGAGGGGAGCAGGTGGCTGCGGTGGTGTACGCAATGCGGCGTTCGCACTGCGTGCCTCCCGCTGATCCCGTCTTTCCCCCATTGTGAACGGCGCAAGGAATTTGTTGTGTAGGTAGGAAACGAGGAAACGTGATAAGGGGAAGACCTTGCGGCTGCTCTTCTCAAATTTGAGGAGGCTCATCCGTTAGGCTGCAGGTTACTGGTCCTCAATCCTCATATGCAATCTGCAGCTAACTGTGTTGACCGCTCGGCTATCTATGTTAGGATCTTCGGCTGTGTGCCATAGTTTTTTGTGCCCTTCAATGTCCGTCACGTATAGCTTGACTTAGAGAATTGTCTGCAAACAAGCAGAGGAAGACTACCTTTTTTGACCATTTCATTGCCAACTAGTACTGCGGCTATGCATATGCTATGAGGCTGAAAATATGTGCGGATTTTGACACCATGAAACTCATCCATTTTTTGGCCCTCAATGCTCATAGTTATAGGGGTGTACTATAATGCCGATGCTCGAGGGAGCAGAGAGTTAACCTTATTAGGAAGAATGCTGCTGTATGCCCTCTATCATTTCTGACAGTGATTATGGAAGGCTCAATCACCCACCTGTTTGGGCACGCCTCTCAGTCAGCATAAACTTGATGTCGATCCATTGTGTGTATTCGGCTACTCTAGTAATTATTACCTAACATCATGTTAATGTTTAGCAAGCTTCTATTGCTATATGGTTCGATGGGTCTCTAAGATTCACATGACACTTTCTTGCAGGCATATCTCTGAAGACGCAGGAGCTGTATGCAGTTGTTTTTGCAGCCCGCTATCTGGACCTGTTTGTTCATTTTGTGTCTCTGTATAACACTGTCATGAAGCTGGTCTTCTTGGCAAGTTCTTTCTCGATAGTTTGGTACATGAAGCGGCATAAGATTGTGCGGAGGACCTATGACAAGGATCATGACACCTTTCGCCATTACGTTTTAGTGTTGCCTTGTCTTCTTCTGGCTCTCCTCATTAATGAGAAGTTTACTTTTAGAGAGGTCAGTGTTTTCATCTTCCTATCTTCCACATTTCTAGCTAATTGCTTATGCAAATCTAGTGGCTATTCAAGTCTGTCAGCCCAATTACCATTCTAGAGTATGTACTGACATTTGATCTTTGGTTGTTGCCTAATTGGAGCCATTGTTTTTAGATGTGATGGAAATCTGCTTGCATCCAATCTTGTTGATTTTCTCCTTTTTTTTAAGGAAACAGGAGGAGCAAGCCCCTCCTGATTAGTATATAATCTTGTTGGAATTTCACTTCTGAAATTATGCAGTTCTGATCGTTTTTGTCATTTTCCGGAGCAGGTGATGTGGGCATTCTCCATTTATTTGGAAGCTGTCGCGATATTTCCACAACTTGTTTTGCTACAGCGGACAAGGAATATTGACAACCTGACTGGCCAATATGTCTTCTTCTTGGGGTAAGATCTATATATGGCGTTTACTGAAAATGCATAAAAACAGAAAATGTATTTGCCTAGAAACAATGCACAGGACTGTTCAACAAAAGTTTTGTATGAACAATATTTGATCGGCATTGCCTATATAGTGAAATAGGCAACAGGGATGAATTTTCTTATTCCGCCTTCTGATATTTGATATATCATGCTAGGATCAGTCATCTCCTTTTGGGCCTTAATTTGTCTTCTTTACTTTATACGCTATTCCTAAAACAGATTCTCTTGGTTATGATGCAGTGCCTACCGCGTGCTTTATATCCTTAACTGGATTTACCGATACTTCACTGAGCCCCATTTTGTCCATTGGATAAGTATGAATTCCTTGTGCCATCCATTTTTATTCCTCGAATGTGCAGGGGAGCTGCGCATCATTTCATTAAATAAGATGTGACATCCATTTGCACTCCCCATTATGTTAGATGTAACCATTATTCATGCACCCATTTTCTTTGTGTTTTTCTCAACCCAGGTTGGGTGGCAGGAATAGTGCAAACTCTGTTGTATGCTGACTTCTTCTATTATTACATAATGAGGTAACTATAAGTTCCTTTGGCTAACCTAGATATCTTTTTTTTACGAATGTTCCTTTCATTGAAAATGTTCTCCAAACAATGGTGCAGCTGGAAGAACAATGTGAAGCTAGAGCTGCCAGCTTAAGGTTGCTGCTCCTGTCCAAGATAGAGTAGGGTAATACTCGGTAATACATCAGATAGGCAGACCCCGTACACAGCATGAGCATCGCTAAAGCCCACTGGGTTATGAAATGCATTTTGGTTCCATGGCTTGTATCGCCTTGTATCTTTCTGCTATTGTTGGAAGAAGAGGAAAGTCAGGCTTACCTTGTAACTTTTTACAATAAGCTGCGTAAGATCAGCACCAGAAGGTTGTGAATTGTGATCGTCTTTAGGGAATTTCGTGCTGATGTAGCCCTTTCGGCAAGTGATTCTCATACAATATAATCTCAGACTGGAATCAGTAATTGTTTGGAATCCTTGGTGGCCGGGCATCAGAAAACTAAAGCTCGAATATAAGGTGTGATAGATTGGTTACACTAGACTAAGCCTCCATTATATTAGGACATATGTAGCACAATCTAAGCTAGTATAAATGCATATTTAAGTGTTTGGTATTGTATTGCATATATATAAGAATATCAGATGCATTTGTTAAGATTGTGTTGGTTGCTACTTGCTAGTATAATCTATGTTCCAACAGAGGAGAGACTAGGAGATTTCATTTTTGTAGTTCTCAATGGTTTATGTATACCTGCATTTTCCAATACCATCAAAAATCTTGCTTACTAGCTAATGCAAGAAAATATTCATTACAAATCGCATCTTCGTTAGAATCGTGAAAACCCCTAAGAAAAACATACCTAGGGGTTCTCAAAATATTTGAAATGAAGCATATCCATAGTGCCTTTACATTGTCACAAAAGTTAGACATGCAACCTCATTTTGTAAATTTCAAATAAAATTAATAAAATTCTGGTGCATATGAATTTGTCTTATAGTGTATATGCACCCAAAATTTGTTATTTTCATATATTTTTTTAAATGCGTTGGAATCTCAATTTTATGACAATGTACTGTATAGATGTACCGTGGATCTGCATTGTTTCAAGTTACTCAAAAACTCGTAATTATGTTTTTATAGGGTTTTCACGATTCCATCGAAGACGTAGTTTGTACTCAATATTTCTCTAGCTAATGCAACCTTATTGTGTTATGAGGAATGTGCAAGCCTCCATAAAGGTCTTGGCGGGCAACCAAACATGAGTAAATTGCATTGCACAAGTTTAGATACATTATAAGAGCAGCAGCAACAACAACAACAACAAAGCCTTTAAGTCCCAAACAAGTTGGGGTAGGCTAGAGTTGAAACCCAGCAGAAACAATCAAGGTTCAGACACGTGAATAGCTGTTTTCCAAGCACTCCTATCTAGGGCTAAGTCTTTAGGTATATTCCATTCTTTCAAGTCTTCTTTTATTGCCTCTACCCAAGTCAACTTCGGTCTTCCTCTGCCTCTCTTCACGTTACTATCCTGACTTAGGATTCCACTACGCACTGGTGCCTCTAGAGGTCTCCGTTGGACATGTCCAAACCATCTCAACCGGTGTTGGACAAGCCTTTCTTCAATTGGTGCTACCCCTAATCTATCACGTATATCATCGTTCCGAATTTGATCCCTTCTTGTATGATCGCAAATCCAACGCAACATACGCATTTCCGCGACACTTATCTGTTGAACATGTCATCTTTTCGTAGGCCAACATTCTGCACCATACAACATAGCAGGTCTAATCGCCGTCCTATAAAACTTGCCTTTTAGCTTCTGTGGTACCCTTTTTGTCACATAGGACACTAGATGCTTGGCGCCACTTCATCCACCCTGCTTTGATTCTATGGCTAATATCTTCATCAATATCCCCGTCTCTCTGTAGCATTGATCCTAAATATCAAAAGGTATCCTTCCTAGGCACTACTTAACCTTCCAAACTAATATCTTCCTCCTCCCGAGTAGTAGTGCCGAAGTCACATCTCATATACTCAGTTTTAGTTCTACTGAGTCTAAAACCTTTGGACTCCAAAGTCTCCCGTCATAACTCCAGTTTCTGATTCACTCCTGTCCGACTTTCATCAACTAGCACTACATCATCCGCGAAAAGGATACACCAAGGGATGTCCCCTTGTATGTCCCTTGTGACCTCATCCATCACTAAGGCAAACAGATAAGGGCTCAAAGCTGACCCTTGATGTAGTCCTATCCTAATCGGGAAGTCATCCGTGTCTCCATCACTTGTTCGAACACTAGTCACAACATTGTTGTACATGTCCTTAATGAGCCCGACGTACTTCGTTGGGACTTTATGTTTGTCCAAAGCCCACCACATAACATTCATTGGTATTTTATCATAAGTCTTCTCCAAGTCAATAAAAACCATATGTAGGTCTTTCTTCTTCTCCCTATACCGCTCCATAACTTGTCTTATTAAGAAAATGGCTTCCATGGTTGACCTTCCGGGCATGAAACCAAATTGGTTCATAGAGACCCGCGTTATTGCTCTCAAGCGATGCTCGATAACTCTCTCCCATAGCTTCATAGTATGGCTCATCAACTTAATTCCCCGGTAATTAGTACAACTTTGAATATCCCCTTTATTCTTGTAGATCGGTACCAATATACTTCTCCTCCACTCGTCAGGCATCTTGTTCGATAAAAAAATATGGTTAAACAACTTGGTTAGCCATACTATAGCTATGTCCCCAAGGCATCTCCACACCTCGATTGGGATACCATCCGGTCCCATCGTCTTACCTCCTTTCATCCTTTTCAACGCCTCTCTGACCTCAGATTCTTGGATTCTCCGCACAAAGTGCCTATTGGTGTCATCAAAAGAGTCATCCAACTGAAAGGTTGTGTCCATATTCTCACCATTGAACAATTTGTCAAAATACTCTTACCATCGATGTTGGATCTCATCCTCCTTCACCAAGAGATGCTCCCTTTCATCCTTAATGCACTTAACTTGGTTGAAGTCCCTTGTCTTTCTCTCACGAACCCTAGCCATCCTATAAATGTCCTTCTCTCATTCCTTCGTACTCAAATGTTGGTAAAGATCCTCGTACGCTCTACCCTTTGCCACACTTACAACTCGCTTTGTAGTCTTCTTTGCCACCTTGTACTTCTCTGTGTTGTCCACACTCCCATCATGGTACAAGCGTCTATATCATTCTTTCTTCTCCTTAATAGCCCTTTGGACTTCCTCATTCCACCACCAAGTATCTTTAGCCTCGCCTCCACTTTCTTTGGTTACTCCACACACCTCTGAGGCCACCTTCTGAATGTTGGTTGCCATCTTCTCCCACATGTTGTTTATGTCCTCTTCTTCCTTCCTAGAGCCCTCTTTGATAACCCTTTTCCTGAATACCTCTGACGTCTTCCCTTTCAGTTTCCACCACTTTGTTCTTTCAATCTTAGCTTGTTTATCCCTATGGGCACGCACCTGAAAATGAAAGTCTGCCACCAAGAGCTTATGTTGAGAAACAACACACTCCCCTGGTATCACCTTACAACCCAAGCATGCTCGTTTGTCCTTTCTTCTTGCGAGGACAAAGTCAATCTGGCTAGAGTGTGGTCCGCTACTAAAGGTCACTAGATGAGATTCTCTCTTTCTAAAGAAAGTGTTGGCTATCATCAGGTCAAAAGCTACCGCGAAGTCCAGAACTTCCTCCCCCTCCTGATTCCTACTACCATACCTAAAACCTCCATGAACTGCCTCGAAACTTGCGCGTGTAGTACCTACATGCCCATTAAGATCTCCTCCTATAAAAAGTTTCTCACTACTAGGTACAGCTCTAATTAGGCTATCTAAGTCTTCCCAGTACGGTCTCTTAGCACTCTCGTCGAGGCCTACTTGGGGGGCATACGCACTAATTACGTTCAAGACCATATCACCAATGATAAGCTTGACTAAGATAATCCTATCTCCTTGCCTTCTCACTCCCACCACACTATTCTTGAGGCTCTTATCAATCAAAACTCCTACTCCATTTCTATTCGTGACTGTCCCTATATACCAAAGCTTGAAACCTGTATTGTCCACCTCCTTTGCCTTCTAACCCTTACATTTAGTCTCTTGAACGCATAATATATTTACACGCCTCCTAGTCGCGGTATCAACTAATTCTCTTAACTTACCTGTAAGCGACCCTATATTCCAACTACCTAAACGGATCCTAGTTGGTTCGACTAGCTTCCTTACCCTTCGCACCCGTCGACTCAGATGTGAAGACCCTTGCTCATTTTTCACTACACCCGGGCGCCGATGTAGCGCGCCACTAAGGATGCGATGACCCGATCCTTGCTCACTTGACACCATGCCCAGATCGTGACACGGCACATCATGGGGGTGACGACCTGGCCCTTGCTCATTTAACACCATACCCGGATTCCGATATGGCGCGTCGCTAAGAGGGTTACGCCCCAACGGTTTTCTTTCAGGTTTCATCTCCATTAGAATGGCTAGATTTAACATTGGCTCGCCATGCTTATCACAACCCTCCTCCTTTACCAGGGTTTGGGACCTGCTATGTTGAGACAACATAGGCGGAGTTAGATACATTATAAGAGCAACTCCAAGAAATTAACTAAAAATATATTACAAATTTCTTGTTTTAGCTGATCTCTAAAATAACCCCTCCCCTAAAAAAACTCAACTAATCTAACAGTCTCTCTAAACATTTCAACTCTCCATATTCAAACCTGCCACATCACCTAGTTTTATTAGATCCATCACATCGCTTAGGAGTTTCTTCGCTGTTGTGCACTTCGTGACCTGGGCACATCAAACAGGTTCCATGCTTTGTGGCCTCCTGTGACCAGCCATCTAGGCTCCAATCAACCATGCCACCTGCAACTAGCTGTCTGGCTAACAGGAAAGGCATCGAAGCCATCTTTACCCGCCCCAGAGAAACGCCAACGTCCCAACCATCGGAACCCTGACTTCCTTGACAAGATGGTGTTGACAACCTAGAAAAATCCAATGCCCTAGAGAAACACCGAAAAGAATACAAGAGATGTTTACAACCTAGAAAAATCCAAGACGCAAGATGGAACCAAGCCTGGTCAAAAGTTGGCGAAGGAATGAAGCGAA